AGAGCGGTTTCTGCAAATCAAACTCAACGTTCTACAGCAAGCAAAAATCATTACCTCTCCCGCAGAATCGCTCCCTCGACGTCACAACCTTCATCTCCTCGCAGGCTCACCGCGGAGCCACCGCTTTCATCGATGCCGTCACCGGAAACCACCTCAGCTTCTCCGATCTCTGGAGATCCGTCGATCATGTAGCCGACGGTCTCTGCGACCTCGGCGTTCGGAGAGGTGACGTCGTCCTCATCCTCTCCCCGAACTCCGTCTTCTTCCCCGTTGTCTGCCTCTCCGTCATGTCCATCGGGGCCATAATCACCACCGCAAATCCTCTAAACACCGCCGGCGAGATCGCTAAGCAGTTCGGAGATTCGTCCCCTGTTCTCACCTTCACCACGAGTCAACTCGTTCCCAAACTCGCCGACTCGGTGGCTAAAACCACAGCAGGCGGCGGAATCTCAGTCGTCATCTTGGATACCGAGCATGCGGAGGAGACGCGGGTAGGATATACGCCCCGCGGTGTAAGGATCGTGGGGGTTTTGGCTGAGATGATGGAGGCAGAGCAACCAAATGGGAAACGACGAGTCAGGGACCGAGTCAACCAGGACGATACAGCGATGCTGCTCTACTCATCGGGAACCACCGGGCCGAGCAAGGGAGTGATGTCATCTCACGGAAACCTAATCGCTAGCGTTGCGAGATTCATAGCGGAGCCATTGGAACAAGATCAGATCTTCATCTGCCCCATTCCGCTATTCCATACCTTTGGCTTATTAAACTTCTGCATGGTGACGGTGGCGATGGGATCCACGGTGGTGCTACTCCCAAAGTTCGAGCTCCACGGCATGTTAATGGCGGTGGAGAAGTACAGAGCCACGACGCTGTTTCTTGTCCCTCCGATCGTCGTTGCCATGATCAACGGCGCAGATTCAATCAGAACAAGGTACGATCTGCGCTCCCTGAGATTGGTGAGATGCGGCGGAGCACCGCTGAGCAAGGAGGTGACGGAGGGATTCCTGGAGCATTATCCGACGGTCGAGATTCACCAGGGGTACGCTTTGACAGAATCTAACGGCGCAGGAGCGGCGACGGAGAACTCGGAGGAGAGCCGGAGGTACGGTACAGTGGGGCCCTTGTCACCGGGTCTTGAGGCGAGGATCATGGATCCGAATTCGTGTCGGGTATTGGGAGTGAACCAGACGGGCGAGCTTCTGCTCCGGGGACCTTCAATTGCTAAAGGTATGTCCATAAACACAGACGCAGTCGAACAATTTTTATTTTTTTTTGGGAAAATGGCATAACCCATACGAATTATACCAAATGTGTAAAATTAGTACACCAATTTTTAATTTGACAATTTTCCACACTTGATTTCAAATTTTTCCATTTACCTCCACAAAATATGAATTTTTTTTCCAATTACCCACATAAAAGGAATTGACTGTGCCAAGTCATCATCCGATTGCTGATGTGGTTTGATACATCATAAAATATGCCACGTCACGAGATATGTAACATGACACATCAGCACCGGGTTAGTGGAATCGGTTAAAATTTTTGAATCGGTTTTTGCTTAGCCGATTTTCTTAAAACCTCTCCTCTCTCCTCTGGTGCTCGAACCGTTGTTTGCAGACTTCGCACATGCTTCCAACGTCGTCACAAGATGCAAACATAAATCTCCGGCGGAAAGTACTTCATTCCCTGGTTATTTCATTTTATTTTCTTCATCACCATTCACAATCAAACCCACTACATTCAAAGTTTTAAAGAAAAAACATAAAAAGTAATACAAATAACAGAGATTTAGATCTATATATATGATTCTATTTCCCATGTTTCTATATTTTGATCATCATTTTTCCACTTTCTTTATTTTAACATTAAATAATATATTTTTTTCCCAGGATTCTACCACATAAAAATCCCAAAGGTCATGATTTCCATCCATCATTATAACAGGCGTGATTTTCTTCCTCGCTCCCCTTCTCGAATCTTTCGTTTTGATTGAGTTTACGGAACAGAAATGGGGAATTTCCAAGCGGCGGCGACGGCGATGGCGGCGGTTGTGATCTACAACCCGGCGAAGAAGAGGGTGGAGAGGGTATACTAGTCGGTGACCGCGAGTGATGTCATGGGCTCGCACCCTGGTCACTACGTAGCCATGGTTGTCACGTCACCCACCTTGAGGAACGACAACGGTTCGCCATTGAAGCATCTCAACAGAAGATGAGAGGAGAGGAGGAGAGGTTTCAGTTCGTCTCGATAGATTTCTGATTTAGGGTTTACAAACCCTAAATCCCTTTTTTTTTAAGAAAATCGGTTAAGCAAAAACCGGTTCAAAATTTTTAACCGATTCGACTAATCCGGTTTGTTGATGTGTCATGTTACATGTCTCGTGACGTGGCATATTTTATGATGTATCAAACCAAATAAGCAATCGGATGATGACTTGGCACAGTCAATCCCTTTTATGTGGGTAATTGGAAAAAAATTTCTTATTTTGTGGAGTTAAATGGAAAAATTTGAAATCAAGTGTGGAAAATTGTCAAATTAAAAATTGGTGTACTAATCTTACACATTTGGTATAATTCGTGTGGGTTTATGCCATTTTCCCTTGTTTTTGGCAAAATACGAAATTTTTACTCGACGAGGTAGAGGAACAGATCTTACCCAAAAACAAAAACACCCCGAATCTGTCGTCAGTTTTACACAATTATGAATTCGTGCTACCCAGAAACAAAACTTTCCATTTTTGTACTTGAAGATAACAATGATACGATCGTTGTAAAAGGCTATTTCAAGAACGAAGAAGCCACGAGAGCTGTTTTTGGTTCCGAAGGATGGCTTCGGACGGGAGATCTTTGCTACATCGACGACGACGGATTCGTTTTCATCGTTGATCGTCTGAAAGAATTAATCAAATACAAAGGATTCCAGGTGGATATGTCTTTTCTCTCCCTTTAATTATCGAATTGTAATTCGATTTATCATTTTAAACAAATAAAATAAATCCGAAATCGACAGTGTAATGATTTCACAAAACCTAGGTCCCTCCGGCGGAATTAGAGGCTCTGCTTCTTACTCATCCAGATATTCTTGACGCCGGCGTTATCCCGTAAGTCTCCGCAACTTCTTTCATCTTATAAATGAGATACTATATGGAAGTAATCTCAGTTTTTATTTCCCACGTGGCAAGGTTTCCCGATCGAGAAGCTGGACAAATTCCCATGGCGTGCGTTGTAAGAAAGCCTGGGACTGGGAGCAATTTATCCGACAAACAAGTCATGGATTTCATCGCTAAACAGGTGCCACTTATAATGTGAAATTTAGGGTTTAATAATTGATTCAAGGAGGATTCAGAATGATTTAAGGAACATTATTGTTGAAACCAGGTATCTCCCTATAAAAAGATTCGAAAGGTGGTGTTCATAAACTCGATACCCAGGACTCCTTCCGGCAAGATCCTTCGGAAAGATCTGATCAAATTTGCGGCGTCTAAGCTGTAAAAGGTTCGATAGAATCAAGATTTCATGGAAATAAAATTTAATTATAAATTTACCATGGATGTCATGAGATTTCATTTCCGTTTTTTTTTTTGGGAATTTATATTTTTAAAGTTTGGTAGGTTTAGGTTTTGATATGGGATAGTGGTCCAATTTTTATTCGGTTTGGGCCCCGTTTTATATTATAATATGATATTGATATGGTCCGTATGAAAATGATTGAACTACTAATCCACATTATAATTTCACATGTTGTAGGCCCATTTAATATAAAGTGGGCTGAGTTAGGCCCAACGTGTGGCGAGTTGGATCCGACGGGGACGCGCCATATCACGTGCTAGGTTCAAATCAAGTCACGTGACTGCTTCTTCTTGTTTTGTCCCGGGTGGAATGGAGAATTTCCCGGCGGCTAATATTAGTTTCGATAAAACCAAAGCCAAGGTTTTTGTAATTTTGTTTGTCCATGGGGACACCAAACTCATTTCTTTTTTGTTAAATAAAATAAGAAAAGAGTGAAAAACATTTAATTTTGAAAAAAAAAACCCTTTTTATTCACTCTGTATTGTTTACTTCAACATTTGGAAAATAATTTAAACTAAACTTTCCCAGAGACTCGATCATACAATTTGAAAATTTCAAATTGCCAACGAAACATTGTTTAGGCATAAAATAAAAATATTCCAAAGATCATATTCAAGATTGACATGGCGACTCGGCAGGGCGGCGGCGGCGATAATACGCCGGAGATAGACCGGAGAAGCGGTTTCTGCAAATCCAATGCGATTTTCTACAGCAAACGCGACCCCATAGCTCTCCCGCCTAACCCATTCCTCGACGTCACGAGTTTCATCTCTACGCAGCCTCACCACGGCGAGACCGCCTTCGTCGACGCTCTCACCGATCGCCGTATCTGCTTCTCGGAACTATGGAGAGCTGTCGATAACGTCGGAGGTTCTCTCTCTGGGTTCGGTGTGCGAAAGGACGATGTCGTCCTTGTACTCTCTCCGAACTCCGTCCTCTTCCCCGTCGTTTGCCTCTCTGTCATGTCAATCGGCGCCATTATCACCACCGCGAACCCTCTCAACACTTCCGCCGAAATCGCTAACCAGATCGGAGATTCGTGCCCTGTTCTCGCTTTCACCACGAGTCGACTCGTTCCCAAACTCGCCACCGCCGCGTCGGGGAGGAATCTCCCGGTGGTTCTCATGGAAGAGGAGCGCGTGAATCACACTCACGGCGTGAAGGTAGTCGGGAGATTGGAGGAGATGATGAACACGGAACCGGAACCGAGTTGGGTCCGAGTCAAGTACCGAGTCAACCAGGAGGACACGGCGGCCCTGCTGTACTCGTCGGGCACGACCGGGACGAGCAAGGGCGTGATGCTAACTCACCGGAATCTCATCGCCTTGGTTCAGACGTACCGAGCCAGGTTCGAACTTGAGCAAAGAACCATCTGCACCATCCCCATGTTCCATGTCTTCGGCTTCGTGTCCTTCGCCATCGGTTTCGTCGCGGTCGGATGGACGGTGGTGGTTCTTCCGAGATTCGATATGACCCAAATGCTCTCGGCGGTGGAGAACCACCGAGCCTCATACCTAACCCTAGTGCCGCCGATTCTGGTCGCCATGATCAACAACTCCGACGATATCAAAGCGAAGCACGACCTGGGTTCGCTTCACACAGTTGTCGCCGGTGGAGCTTCATTAAGCAAGGAGGTAATAGAAGGGTTTGTCCGAAAATATCCGGCGGTGAAGATTCTACAAGGGTACGGGTTGACTGAGTCAACGGCCGTCGCGTCTTCGATGTTCACTCAGGAGGAGTCCAAGATGTACGGAACTTCCGGGATTTTGGCTCCGAGCGTGGAGGCGAAGATCATGGACACGGGCACGGGTCGGGTCCTGGGTGTGAACCAGACCGGCGAACTCTGGCTCAGGAGTCCAACTGTGATGAAAGGTGCAACATTTCTGACATTGTTCTTCTTAGGATGTCTCGTACTACTGATAAAATCTATCTGAAACTGGTTCTGGTTGTTGTTCCTTTAAGGTTATTTTAAGAACGAAGAAGCTACTGCCTCTGCTATAGATTCAGAGGGATGGTTGAAGACTGGAGACCTCTGTTACATTGACGAGGACGGCTTCCTTCATGTTGTTGATAGGTTGAAGGAGCTGATCAAATACAAGGGTTATCAGGTGAATTTTACACACAGAATTTAACAACTTCAATCTTCTATCTCTACAATATCCACCTCCTGGAATTCAGATGATGGATCAAGATTTGTTTGGATTGATTTGTGGATCTTGAAAAGGGGCATGCTTTTGGTAAATGGTTGCCAGGTCCCTCCAGCTGAGCTTGAGGCATTGTTGCTCTCTCATCGAGATATTGCCGATGCTGCTGTTATACCGTAAGGCCTTTGCGTTAACGTCGATGGCCATCGGTGATTCTTTTTCTCCGTTGATACTTTTTGCTTAATGTTTCTTGTCCGTTCTTCGGTCTCAAAGGTATCCAGACAAGGATGCCGGGCAGTTTCCGATGGCTTACGTCGTAAGAAAAGACGGAAGTAACTTATCACAAAATGAAGTCATGGATTTCGTCGCCAAACAGGTTATGTCTGTAATGCAGATTACGCTCGTCTTTTATCTGATCGCGTTTCCATGATCTTATCCTGTGAGCATTTGGATTGAGCAGGTAGCACCGTATAAGAGGATTCGTAAGGTTTCATTCGTATCTTCAATCCCCAAGAATCCCTCCGGCAAGATTTTAAGGAAAGATCTCATAAAGCTTTCTACCTCCAAACTCTAACATGAGCAGGTAACTGAAATGTTTTTATATCAAAAAACCTGTCTTTTACATATATACAAAGACATCGAAAACGTTTCTACCAAAAGCTTCTCTATAACACCATTTCTTGATTACACTCATCTCTTTGATTGTCAGATAATCAAGGAGTGGCCACGAAAGAGAGGTAACAGAGACGAAATCGAAGCTCCCTTGCATGTTCTCATGGATGCCACGATGGCTTTCTCCGTGTCATCATCACCATCACCATCACCATCATCATGCCCGGACAAGTTCCTCTTCACCAACATGACAATGTGTTTCAACAAAACTTCCTCACAAGGAACTCTTAAAGGGCCACAGACAGTGGTGCCAAACTCTTCCTCAGCCATTTCCAACAGAACTTGGAAGATCGGATGGTTCAGATACTCCAATGGCAACACAAACCTTTCTCCTTCTCTTGTGTACACTGCGAAATGCCCTCTCTTCCTCTTTCTCCACTTCTCCATCAACTCGGTGAGTCCAATCTTCACTGAAGATCTTTTCTTCATGACTTGATCTCTTACCAATAAAACGTTTCGAGTATAAATATACTGTTACTGTCTGCAGCTATATGTTGCCTCTATATATAAGATTGAGAATGTGTGGATGGAGGAGAGTGGGCATGTGAGCTTTTTATTCATTTATGATGGGTTTTGCATGAGATTGATTTGCAAATGGGCAGAGAGAGAGCGAGAGAGAGAGAGAGTAAAGGCCAACTCCGTGAGTCCAAGCTTCACAGAAGATCTTTTCTTCATAATTTAACCTCTTACCCATAACACCACACCATTGAGTATATACTGTTACTCTCTCCAAACTGTATGTCGCCTCTCTCTCTCTCTCTATATATATATATATGTATATGGGATTGAGAATGTGTGGATGGAGAAGAGTGGGCATGTGAGTTTTTGTTCATTTATGATGGGTTTTGGATGGGAGTTGCAAATGGGCAGAGAGAGAGAGAGAGAGAGAGAGAGAGAGAGAGAGAGAGAGAGAGAGAAAATAAATGCGAAAGTGAAAACACAAGCATGGACCCACAGATCTTCCACAATTCTCGGATCGAGACCGACCGTGAAGTTAATGTTATAAGCTAAACTAGTTCGAACCAAATCATCATACTTCTAGAGATTATGTTTCTTTCGTTTGTTTTTGTTTTTGTTTTTATTTTTTTATGTAGTGAAATTTAAGGTGGTGGTGGAAATAAGAACATGTGACTTTGTGAGTGTTTTTTTAAGCAAATTGCTTCTGCTTTACTCTCAAGTTGCTTATTTCCTTTCTCATGTGTGTTCTAATTTTTTTTTTTTATTGGGTTCACATGAAAATTTTTGTGATATAATATTTTAGAATTTTATTTTCAAGTGTATATTGCAATGGTGTTAAAAATTGTAAGTTTTATAATTTTGCAAAAAAACAACCTTAAAAATATGGACTAAGCTGTATTAAATCTTTATTAATTTTTCATAATTGTTTTTTAATAGAAACTAAAATCATAAATTTGAGAAAAATATCAGCACATTAACATTTTCCAACCCTTTCAATTTTCTATGAGCCCTCTAAATGTCACTACCAAACTCAAGACACTGAAACAACAACCACTGAGGTTGCCCGGTGAAACACCACTGGTTTCTGCCTCTCTTCTTCTGAAACACATTGAAGATTTTCCGGCATGGAAGAGTTGCTTACTTCTGTCTTCTTTGTTCTTTTCCATACGCCCAAATGAGTACAGAGCTCAAACGAGAGGCCAGGCCGAGTTGGGTCAGCTCGTGTCAAAAAAAGAAAAAAAAGAATAGATCTTTACATAGATAGAGGAAGAAGCATCCGTCTCTTCTTTTTCTTGGCCAATCTAACTTGCTTTGCGATCTTCAGGAAAAGGAGTAGTAGCAACGAGAAGCAAACCAGGATGAAAGCGAGTTTCAACCTTCTAAAGTAAAAGGAAACAGCCGAAAACACCAAGAATGCTAAGATGAGGAGTTCCCAAATGACGAAAACTACGACATCCACCCTGCATCAGATCAAAAAACAAAAGGATGAGAGTTAACATAACATAATAAACACCACATGAATCTTGCTTGCATTGCATACTCGAAATGGAATTTGTGGGTAAGGCCATGTAAAATAAAACTGAAATGGTGGGAGACCGCATTTTACTAAATATCTAAACGAATCAGATTTCATCAAGCAGGTAGCTTTCCTACCCTTCTTTGTAAGAAAGAGATCATTGCGGTTAATCTTACAGCCGAAAGCTAAGAGGTCTTATGCAATGCTTTGATACTGACAGAATATACATTGCATTCCATAATCTTTCCCTGCACAACTAGCATGACTAGAAACCCTTTTCAACCTAACACATTAACTTAACAGGCTGAGAGTATTATCTGTTCTTGATGAAGAAAACAAAAGTTGCAAAATACATATGATTACTAACAAACAAAATCCAAATTAAACTCTTGCCCAAATAATCATGCTAATCAGCATGGCTTTCCATACCCTCTTGTCAAATCTCTAGACTTAGGTTTATCGTCTCTTGGGTATACATTTTGCCTCTCATTGTGGGCATAAGTCAAGCAATCCCTCTCTAACTTATGACAGTCATTATTTATTGGCAATGTTAAAGTCATGTTCCTCTCACAAAAGAAGAGACCTCCCATGGAATATCGATCGTGCACGGTATGCACGGGGATAAGCACTCAAAGGAAAAAGAAGATCAAAGAACATACTGAAATGCTAAACTAAGACCGTGACTTGGGAATAACGATTCGTCGTCTAAATTTCACTTTGAGATGCTGTCTAAATGCACACAGATTGGATGCAACTAAAACTGAATCAGTGAAGATCGTGGTGGATGATCTAAACAGAGTTAAAGAGTTCAACCGAAGAGATTTTCACCTCTATTTCTTCCCCATTTCAAACATCATATGCAGATCTTCCAAAAGAACACACTTCAAATGCCAATTCAAGAACCATATCCAAAACCCTAACCGACGCGGCAAAGGGTATATCCTATATCCTGTTGACGAATATTATGTCGCCAGCAGCTCCAGATTACAGCAAAAACAACAACACTAGAAACAAAACCATACAGAATCTAAATCCGCCATGAAAAACATGAACTTTTAACGAGAAAATTGTTACCTAGAAGAAGAGAAATTCGAGGTCGAGGAGAAGAAGGAGACAGAGGCCCAGTCATGCTTCGATCGTATCTGGTATTCCCTCAGCTGCTCAGCTAGATTCGATCTCGTTATCATCGCTGAAAAGGGTTCCCGAAAATCCCAAGGTAGAGCTCCTCCCCACCCTCTTCCTTTCCGATCCGCTTCCTCCTCGTCCTCGTCTCTCCCCGAATCTCAGACGCCGTAAAACTCGAAGAGCCTCGGAGAAATCCGAGAACAGAGGAAGAATTCTGCGGAGAAAGTCGAATTTCAACACTCCAGAGATTTAAAAAAATGGCGAAAATCTGGAAGATTGAATCAGAAATTTGCAGGAATGAAAACAACGTTCGAAACTTGTAGGTTCCGAAGACAACGTTAGCATGGGCTCTCTCGGTCAACAACCGGGCCTATCGGCCCAACCCAATAGGCCCATAATAAGTAGAAATCGCAGTTATTATTCAAATCGAATTTTTACATATTTTAAGTAGAATTTGGTATTTGAATCATTTTTTTTAATTATCTATCGCTAAATGTTTGAAGGGGAAATAGATATATGGAATTATTAGACAAAACTCAATTTTTGAATAATTTTATTCATCAAAATAAAATGAAAAAAAGTGTATATCAAGATGCTTTTAAACTATTATTTTTTAATTTTTTTTTATGGAATGTAAATATTATACCATTTATTGATTATCTCTAATATCAAGATGAGCATATGCCGATTATTACTAATATCATGATCGTTAAAATCGTAAATCATAAATTATATGGAAAATACATTTGTAACACCACACACACACAGATGTCTATACATATATATACACGCGCGCGTGTATATAAACACACATGAGAATGAGATTGAAAGGGATAAATTAAATAGAATGTGAACGAAGATCCTTACAAGTTATCTTGATTTTTAGTTTTTATGGGTATGTATGTATGTATGTATGTATGTATGTATGTATGTATGTATGTATGAATCCACTGATATTAAAATTGACATAAAGCAGATTTAACCATTATTGATTTGCCTCCACATTCATATGGACCGTTAGCAGCGGAAAACATCGGTGAGGTGTTTTTTAATAATAATCGCTAACTATGAGTAAAATGTAAGCACTTTTAAACAAAAGTACTAATCGAATTCATGTATTTTTTTTACTGAATTTGTTTTATTTTTTTTTTCGTAATTTTCATCAGTTTTGATAGATTTAATGGATTGATATTTGAGTTAGATGGCACTTATCTTTAGGGTCGGACAAAAATACCCGAATTTTGAGTGCGCGGGTCGGATACCCGAAAATTCGAATATCCGAGCGAACGAGACATGAGTTCGGGTATTAATATTGAAATACCCGAGTTTTCAAGTTCGGGTTTGAATAATGGTTATTATCTCATGGGTACCCTCGGGTATTCGGATAATAAAAAAATATGTTTTAAATTTTAGATTTTTTATTAGATTTTGTATTATTTTATTTAATATTAATGATTATATAGATAATATTGGATATATTTATGATTATTTTTTCAAAATAAATTTATTTTAGATATAAATACAATTTAAATTTATTTTGAATGATTTTAAGTATGTATATATAAATATATTTTAAAAAGTTAATTTAAAATAATTACAAATATTTGGATTTGGGTACCCAATAATGATCTCGGTTTTTGGATTCAAATACCCGATTTTACGGATAATAAAACATATATCCTGAAATATTCAGATTTAGATTCGGATATCCTCAAATTTCCGGATAAACGATCCGTGTCTACCCCTAATTATCTTTCCCTCGTTACCAATAATGGTAACGTAACTTCATGATTTTGTTAGTTTCTTTCCGATAAAAATTGAGAAAATCATCATGAGCGTCTATAAATAATAATTGCTGAAACAAAAAGACAACTTGTCTTTTTTTTTTGAAAAAAAAGAGAAATAATTTACAACCGCACATCTAAAGTTCTAATTATATGATATAAATATCCATCATTCATTGGATTGCATTGAATCCAGTTGGCAGCTTCGCCTACCTACCAAAAGATAAGAGCGGCCAAGAGATCATATTTAGTTTGAAAATTATTTAGATATAAATTTTATTTAAATTAAATAAATTGGTTTGAAAAATACAAATTAATCTAAAAATGAGTTTTAAACATTTTAATTTAAACCAGAACAAAAATATAATCCGAATCGATCCAATCCCGATATAAAAGCAAACTACTAATAACTTTTCAAATAAAATCGATAGGATTGTTACCATCAACAACAATAGCTCTAGGTTAAATACTGCGTTTCAAAATATTTATCATTTTAGATTTTATCACAGTTTTTAAAAAAATCTAAATATATATATATATATATATATATATATATATATACTTTATTAAAATATATTTTTTAAAATGATCTATTGGTTTTAAACATTTTAATTTAAACCAGAACAAAAATATAATCCGAATCGATCCAATCCCGATATAAAAGCAAACTACTAATAACTTTTCAAATAAAATCGATAGGATTGTTACCATCAACAACAATAGCTCTAGGTTAAATACTGCGTTTCAAAATATTTATCATTTTAGATTTTATCACAGTTTTTAAAAAAATCTAAATATATATATATATATATATATATATATATATATACTTTATTAAAATATATTTTTTAAAATGATTTATTGAAGTGATGGTCCAAAAGCTTAAATATCGGGTATAGTTCGTATTTTTATGAACGTGTTTGATTGTGGCACGTAGTTCTTATCTAATCAAACACGTATCATATTATCTTATTATTCTAATTTCAATAATGAGAGAATTTCTTCTATCACCTGTTCGAATCGAATAATCAACCACAAATCCCTTAAAAGAATACGTACTCTCGAACCTATAACCTCTCATAATCAAGGGATTACACAAATTAACGCTATATATTATCATTTTGCTAATACAGTTTTTTCACGAACAATGTAAATATTTTGATTTTAAAAAATATATAAGTATTTAATCGGACAATGTTAAATTCGAATAATAGAAGAAACTTGTACCGACATGAAAACCGCATTTTACTCTTTCTCGATATAGAATGGTCAAATGTCAGATTTGTAAATTTCTTGAAATCTCTCAATCCTTCTCCACCAAGCTAATACGTACTGCCACGTGGCACAATCACATCTTTGGACCCACGACTGACGTCACCTTTTTAAATTTCAATCAAAGACCGAAATGTGGGTCCAACCGTTCACGGTCGGCCACCACGTGTCATTCTCACCTTTGGTCCAGACCACTTTTTATTTTTTTTTTCTTTCCGAGTGTAAGTTTGCCGCTCGCAATCGTGAGAGAGGTCGGTCCAGTGGGTCCAATGGATTTTCAGCATTTCTTTTGTTACCCCGTTTTTAAGAAAAACATACATTCTGCCCCTTTAGTTTTCGATTCTAAAAAGCAAGCCCATAGCGTTACAAGGTGAACAAATTATGTCTTTACAAAATTAAAGTCTTGGCAATTATTTTTCAATTTTCACCAAATTCTCATTAAAATAATTTTTAAAATGAAATAAATTGGGTTTTAGAAAACAGTTTAAAAGATTAGGTCATATATATAACTTTAAATTAAACATGAGCTCCGAGATACTAATACAAAATATAATATAATTTTTCAAACAATCAACTCTTTTTATACATTAATACTTGAAGGATATCTGTATCCTGCGCCTAAATCAATGAGCTTTACAGCATCTTATAAAAGAAAAGGGGCCATTTTGTAATAAGATATAATTTTCACCTCTAATTTAAAAATACGAAAACTGTCAGCGTGAAATCCGCGTCCGTCTGGACCCTCTCCCCACGCTATAAAACCCACTTTCTTCTCTCAGTACCAAAACCGTCACTGAGACATAAAAGATAAATCAAAATTCGAAATCTCTCAGATCATCGTTAAATTCAAGTTTAGAGCGTTTTCTTTGTCCGATCAATCAATCGTTGGGGATCGCCATGGCTGAGGAGGTGAAGAACGTGACTGAGCCCGAGGCGCCAAAAGTAGCGACGGAAGAGTCATCGGCGGCCGGAGAGGTCAAGGATCGGGGATTGTTCGACTTCATGGGGAAGAAGGAGGAAGCGAAGCCTGAGGAGGCGATCGCTACGGAGTTCGATCACAAGGTTCACGTCTCGGAGCCGGCGCCGGAAACGAAGCACGAAGAGGAGGAGAAGCCTAGTCTCCTGGAGAAACTTCATCGAACAAGCAGCTCTTCTAGTTCCGTAAGTGTTTCCGTAGATTGTCGGTATTTCGGATAAAATTGATCTTGCTCCGTTATTTTTGATTCGGTCAAAATTACAGATCAGTGAATATGATGGGATTCACTTCGATTTTCGAAGAACAGTTTATATCTTTGAAATCCTCTGTCGGAGATGGATCTATAACTGCGACGAGATTAAAACCATTAGTTCTAATCTGATCGATTTTCTTAATATTCATCTAAGAAATATGTTGCTAATGATTTTGTATTCGGCAGTCGAGCGAGGAAGAAGACGAGAATGGGGAGAAGAGGAAGAAGAAGAAGGAGAAGAAGAAGACTGAAGGAGAGGGGAAAACAGAGGAGGAGAAGAAAGGGTTTATAGAGAAGATCAAGGAGAAGCTTCCTGGGCACAGCAAGAAACCGGAGGATGCCTCAGCCGCGGTGCCTGCGCCTGCACCTGCACCTGCACCTGCACCTGCACCTGCGGCGGAAGAGAAGGTGGAGCATCCGGCGGAGAAGAAGGGACTTCTGGAGAAGATCAAGGAGAAGATTCCTGGCTACCATTCCAAGAGTGGAGAAGAGGGGAAGAAGGAAAAGGAGTCTGATTAAAGGTGGTGATGAAGGGGATTTCTGCTATGCTTTTTTTTTTTTGTGATAAAAGTGATTATGCGCTGGTGGTGATGATGATCTTTTGTCTGTGTTGTGGAAGTTTGTCGTCGGCCTTGGGTTTGTGTATTTGGTGATCACCTTTATGTATTTGTTGTGTATTTGGCTGATACAAAGTTTGTATTTTGTTTGTTTTACATACATATATATATATATATATATATATAGATATATGTTTTTATATGTCATTTTCCCCCCCATAGATTGTTAATGTTATCACTCTTCCACATGTCAAGAAGATTAACCTTAGGATACCATTAATAGTATTCTTACCATATAAAATTGTGCGAGGATACCAAATCAATAGAAAGCCACGTAAGTTTTTGGCTTTGTACCGCGAAATCTTACATGGCAACATATTTTTTAAACCACCAATGATAGAAGGCCACGTATAGTCCTGAAATGGTCACAGCGTCCGTTCAAGGCCTTATAGGCCCATATAATGATCATGGCTGAATTATTGGCCCCATTCTTAATTTGTTCCCTTGACCTATTACCTTATATTTCACAAGTTCAATCAAGACCTGATATCTTCACGTAAATAAGAAATTAAAACTTTTTGTCCATGAAATATTCTCCTCCTCCTCACAAAAGGAAAAGACCCAAAATGCCACGTCATCACAAACAACATCTAACGCAACCAATCAAAACATTTCTCCAAGGATAACACTCTCACTAAAAAACTGCCCCATCAATCAGCGGCAATCCATTACCATATCTACGAAAAATCCCATTTTTCTCTTTTGTAAACCCAAATCACCTCATCTTCTTGACAAACCAGTGAATACCCAAAAAAAAGTTCAAAACTTTACAAAAATGGCCACTGTTGCCTCCACCGCCGTCGCAATCCCATCCTTCACCGGCCTCAGAGCCAACTCCTCCGCCGCAAAACCCACGACGGTGTCCGTCTCCACCGCCGTCAAGACCCCAAAACTCACCGTCAAAGCCTCTCTTAAAGACATCGGAGTCACCACCGTCGCCGTAGCCGCCGCCGCCTCCGTGGCTCTCGCCGCCGGAAACTCCATGGCGATGGAGGTTCTGCTGGGAGGAGATGATGGGTCGTTGGCCTTCGTGCCGAACGACTTCACCGTAGCGAAAGGAGAGAAGATAGTGTTCAAGAACAACGCGGGGTTCCCACACAACGTGGTCTTCGACGAGGACGAGGTTCCGAGTGGAGTGGACGCGAGCAAGATCTCGATGGACGAACAGGATCTGCTGAACGGCCCTGGAGAGACGTACGAGGTTGCCTTGACGGAGCCTGGAACCTACAGCTTCTACTGCTCGCCACATCAGGGTGCGGGTATGGTCGGAAAAGTCACCGTCAACTAAAGGGTAGATTCGAGGGGTTTCAGAATAAAGAACTATTGCACCATGTTTGTGTTGTTTTTTGGTATTGATTGACAATATATAATATGTTGTCATTTGTTTTTTTTTTCTTTTTTTCTTTTGGATTTAGAGGGTTTTCTGAATTTTGGTTTTGAGTAGGTAATAATTATAATGCTCCTTGGCATATAAACAGTTTAAAAAAGAAAATTTGTCGAAGGAAAAAAATATAAAAATAATAATTAAGAAAACGAAATTTAAATACTTTAATTTTTTGTTCATGGTTCGATTTTAATTATCTCTTATTAGTATTTAATGTTTTATATATTTATCATAATATCATTAATGACAGTGATTTTCAAATCAAAGACTTTGGAACTTCTTCTTGACCTAGAGATTTTCGGAGCTTCTCTTTCGGCCAGAAGTTGTACAAATACATTCAAGCTGTTATATTCGATGAAAAAAGAATATCCCTACATCAAATGATATTATATTTTAATTAAATTATTTGTTCTATTTTTTAGTCCTCCATTTAATAATCACATTAAAAAAATCTCGGTGTAAAAAAAGTATGTCGTGTCAGGCACGTTAGGGATGTGAAGGTGTAAAATTCCTTGAAATATTGCAATTTTCACACTGGTTGGTTGGTCCACAATATCATACATAATATTTTTAAATAAAATATTATAATATAATATTATATTTTTCCAGATACGACTGGCATATTTAAAAAAAAATATATTATGAATTATGAAGTAGTAATGATGGAGCAGTTAAAGTACCCAGCTAATAATAAGATTTTTCTGGCAACTAATTAGATGTTTTTCTTTTAATTATCGAGTTTAATCAACTCCCAAATATTTTGGACCAACTATAATGATGGAGATTTGCATTAATGTACAGTTGTTACTGGGACATGCAGTTATAATTATTAATTCATTATTTTTTGTTAAATATATTTTCAATGTTTATCTGTTTGAAGAAAAAAACGAAAAAGTAGTTAGAGATAAATTAGGGATTCAAAATAAATATAAAATTAACAATAGCTAAATCTTATTATTTTAAAACTATATAAAGAGAGGTTTGAAAACTATATTTGAAAATAAATAGTATATCTGAATTCTTTTTCACTTTATTTATATTAAAATTAATTATTTTAAATTTTATTTTTTAGTTTAAAATTTTCAGATATTTTCTTAGTCAAATTAAGTTTAATTTTTTAATATTAATTTTTATTTTTTAGTTTAATTTTCTCGAGTTCATTTTACTTCCTCAAATTAAACTAATATGCATTGGATTAACGTTAGCTTCATGAAAAACGTATAAAAAGCATATTAACAAAAATTGTAAATGTCTATAAAAAGTTAAAAACACAGTTAAAGAATCGATCCGAGCCTACGTGGCATTCTTATTTATCACTTAAGTCGTAGAAAATATCTTCAATTTTTTAAAAATGGTTCCAGATCACTTCCGCATCTCCTTTATATATATATATATATATATTAAAATATATTTACAAATGTAGAAAAGGAGAAAGTATTTTCTACTATTTCGATCCTTATCTTTTATATATTCCGTGGAATGCCCCAAATGTTTTGTTCTGAGAAGAATCCAAAATTTTGATCTCTTAATTAGATATTCTCACATCACACCATTCCATTTCTAAATTCAGTTTTATTGCTAAAAATATTTTTAAGTTTTTTAATTTAAAATTTAGAAATTTTCAAAAATTATATATGTTCAATTGTTTTATCTTTGATCTGAATACAATCCTATAATACTATTCAATTCATATGATTCGATTTTAAATAATCAAAACTGAAAATAAACTTTAATAGTAAAACAAATTTTTTTTTAATTATATACCAAATCACGGGCGTATCTCCAAAATATTATATTAAAAATAGATCTACAAATGTAAAAAAAAAAAAAAAATAGAAAGTTTGTTTTCTATTTTGACCACTGGTCTTTGGTATATTTCGCTAAATGCCCCAAATGTTTGTTTCCTTTGGAGAATCTATTAATTCTAAGATAAAGCCACAGGTCAAGAAGCCAAACATAACGCCTCATATCTCTCTCTCTTCCTCTCTCTCTCCAGAATGGACAATGTGGCACTGTTCTTGACCGGCGCTCTCATCGCCGGCGGTTTTTACTGGTTCGTCTGCCTCCTTGGTCCGGCGGAGCAAAAGGGCAAACGCGCCGTCGATCTCTCCGGCGGCTCCATCTCCGCCGAGAAGGTCCAAGACAACTACAACAAGTACTGGTCCTTCTTCTTCCGACCAAAGGAGATTGAGACCACCGACAAGGTCCCTGACTTTGTAGACACATTCTACAATCTCGTCACCGACATATACGAGTGGGGATGGGGACAATCCTTTCACTTCGCTCCCTCCATCCCCGGAAAATCCCACGGTGACGCCACGCGTCTCCACGAGGAGATGGCCATAGATCTGATCGATGTCAAGCCAGGCGAGAAGATTCTCGACGTGGGTTGCGGCGTTGGGGGCCCGATGCGTGCGATTGCGGCTCACTCGCGGGCTAAGGTTGTCGGAATCACCATTAACGAGTACCAGGTGAGCAGGGCGCATATCCACAACAAAAAAGCCGGTCTCGACAGCCTCTGCGAGGTTGTCTGCGGCAACTTCCTCCAGATGCCGTTTTCCGACAACAGCTTCGACGGCGCGTACTCGATCGAGGCAACTTGTCACGCGCCGAGGCTCGAGGAGGTCTACGCTGAGATCTTCAGGGTGTTGAAGCCCGGCTCGATGTACGTGTCATACGAGTGGGTGACGACGGACAAGTACCAGTCGGAGAATTCGGAGCACGTGGAGATCATCCAGGGGATCGAGAGGGGAGATGCTTTGCCTGGTCTGAGGAAATTCTCCGACATAGCCGAGACGGCAAAGAAAGTGGGCTTCGAGGTGGTGAAGGAGAAGGATCTGGCCTTACCGCCGGCGAATCCGTGGTGGACAAGGCTTAAGATGGGTCGGATCGCGTACTGGAGAAACCACATTGTCGTGAAGATTCTCTCCGCCATTGGAGTAGCTCCAAAAGGAACCGTCGATGTTCACGAGATGCTCTTCAAGACGGCGGATTACTTGACCAGAGGAGGTGAAACCGGAATCTTCACGCCGATGCATATGATTCTCTGCAGGAAACCAGAGGTCCCGATGACTACTCCGCCGTCAGCGAGTTCCTGAAAAGGTAAACCTCCGCCCGCCGCCGCCGGGAGAATATTCTCTGTTTCGGTCCCTCTTTGTTTCTTAATATCCGTTTTTGCCCCATACTTTTCTTATTTTTGGTTCACTTTCAAATCAATCGTTGGAATCGGTGTACGTTTCTTCTTTCTTTTTTCGTCTATTATTAATCCCGTTTTTAATTTAATTAATTTTCCTTAATGTTATGTTGAGCCTTCGCCGTTACTTCCTTATATTAGTTCTCGATTTCTTTGCCACGTGGATCTGCAAAAGGATTAAAAAAAAGCCTTTTTAGGTTTGTGAGATCAGAGATAAAATGGACGGTGTAGCGCCGATGAGAAACACAGGATTATCGCACGTGGAGAGTGTGCTTAGTATTGGCTATTGAGGGGCAATGTTGTAAATTCGTGAGGCGTAGGTTGTCGACAGCCTGTGGTGAGTGTAGCAGTACCGATACGAAAAATGAATGGAGATAGCTTTAAAAAAAATGAAAAAAAAAAAATGTAAAATCTCTAACAATATGCTAGATTAATTCATTTTCAACTGAATAAGATTATAATTTCTAAAACTAAATAAAATCATATTTAATTAAAATATAATATTTTTTTTAAATGAAAAGCGAATCTAAACCGAACACGATTGAAATCAAAACCGATATATAAAAACAATAAAGATAGTTAAAAAAAATTGTGAATCTCTAGCACGATTGAAAACGAATCAGATGTTGTATTTCTTGATAAAAACAATATTTTTTTTGTCTAATTTATAACAAAACAGAGTGAGTGCAAAGGATTGAAAGCATGTCCGGTCAGTGAGTATAAGAAGAGGTCGCCATTGGATCGACAATGAACCTGTCTCCGAAATTCCAAAGACCCTTTGAATCAATCCATCTATATCGGCCTCGAGACGAATCCCCGCTCGATCATTTTCTCGACCAACTCTTCGTGCTTCTTTAACTGTCCGGCCTTTCGCAGCTGGGCAAGAACCGACTCATAGAGAGGGAGGCTCGGTTTCAGGCCCTTCTCCTCTACCATCTCCTTGAAACACTTGAAGGCATTGTTCCAATGCCCCATCCCACAGTACATCGTCACTAGAATCCGGTAAGTGTTCACGTTTGGCTCGATCCCTTTCTCGTCCATCTCCTTCTTCATTTTCAGAACCATGTCGGTTGATTTCGACCCGGCAAACATCCTCATCAATATGTTGTAGGTCACTGTATTAGCCTCACAGTTCACATCCCTCATCTTCCCGTACATCCTGTGTGCGGCATTCACGTCCCTTTTCTTCTCGATGCACCGAAATATCGTGTTGAATGTCGAGGCATTGGGTTCGGACCCTTTCTTGATCATCGTGTTGAGAACTTTGACGGCGTTATCCAGATTCCCATCTCTGCAATGAGTATCGATGAGGAAATTGTACGTGATAGTGTCCGGTTCACATTCCAGCTTCTTCATCTGGTTATAAACCTGCAGAACCTTCTCGGTTCTCCCTGCTTTGACATGAACCCTCATCAAGTTATTGAAAGTTATGGCATTCGGGGCACAACCCGTGTCTAGCATGTCAGCAAACACATCATGGGCACGGCTGATTTGCCCGCTTCTGCACAATGCATCGATCACGATGCTGTAAGTGTATACATTTGGTTTGTTTCCAGCCATTTTCATCTCCTTGAACACCTTTTCTGCCTCTGTAATGTCACCAGCTCGGCACCATCCACGGACCAGGTTGGTGTATACGATAACATCAGGCTCGAACCTATCCTTCAAGCTGTTGAAAAAGGACTGAGCTTCATTTGCTCTTCTCTTCTTGCAGAGATTGCTTATTACAATGGAAAACGCTATCTTGTCGGGTATACAACCGTAATCCTCCATACGGTTGAAGGCATGAACAGCCTCAGAAGCTAATCCAGCCCTAACATATCGCCTAATCAGAATCGTGAAGGTCTCTATGGTAATCTCTACGTTTCTCGATTTCATCAGATCGATCAAGTTCCAAGCTATGTCGAAACGCCGTACCTTTCCGGCGAGGTCGACCACCTCGTTGTACGGACCAGGCGTATTCTGGTCGTAGCCATCGCGGGAAGTGGCCCAGCTGAAGAAGGCTAACGCCTGTTCAAAAGGAATGCAGTGGCCGACCCCGCCGCACTTCTCGAT